GCGAGATGAAGAACCGCCTGCACCACGCCGACGTCCGAGGATACCGAGCAACAGATCGCTAGTAATTGTATTTGAGGTCGAGCCTGCCTACGACGGTCAGCCAGAAGGTGTGTTTGGAGGACAGTTTCACAATGAAGACACAGAAGTCCACGCTTGGTCAGAGGTTGAAGGTGTTGGTCACTACCGTTGGCTCCAAGGGCCGATGAATCATTTGCCTCGCGAACAATAATTGGAATTCATAGCGGATGTGATGCGACAGATTTTCATTTTCTTGCGTTGGTATTGACTGATAACAACATTGCTTCTCGGAGACCTCGAAGCTAGAAGAGGAGGTGATGTCATGGACATACATTAGAAGATTCTTCGAATATTCTTCTAGAATATTCTCTAAAGATTCTCTAAAGATTCCTTTAGAAGGTTCTAGAAGATTCTTAGAATATTCTCTAAAGATTCTCTTAGATGGTTCTAGAATATTCTTAGAAGGTTCTAGAATATTCTTAGAAGGTTCTAGAATATTCTGATAGATTCTAGGAAGTTGCTCGAGAAGTTTCCTAATTAGTAGAAGTTATTGGAGAAGCGTCCTAGTTAGCGGAAGTAGCTCGAGAAGCTTCCTATTCAGTAGTATATATAGGAGTCGAGGCTGAAGGGTTCTTCAGTCTCGACAACACATCTCTTGGAGTTCTAGCTCACCTTTCTGGTGTTGTTCTTATACTCATCTGTTTAATCTAGTTCTGCCACTTCTTCTTGAACTTCTTGTTAGATTTCAAGTCTGTATTTTGTGTCCGTGACACAACCACAACTCAACATGGGTGATAAGGTATGGCTACTTCGTCGCAATATCAAGACTACTCGACCTTGTGACAAGTTGGACTATCGTAGGCTTGGCCCCTTTTCTGTTTTTGAATAGATCAACCCAGTTGCATATCGGTTACATCTACTGGAGTCAATGAAGATCCATCCTGTATTCCACGTGTCTCTTCTTGAACCATATAAGACAGTGGATATACAAGGAAGAAGACAAATGCCACCGCCTCCTATAGAAGTAGATAATAATGAAGAATTTGAGGTGGAAGAGATATTAGACTCAAGGCGGCATCGAAATAAGCTGGAATATCTTGTTCATTGGCACGGATATGATATTAATGAACGCACATGGGAGCCATCCAGGAATCTAGCAAATGCATCAGCTAAAGTCAAAGTTTTTCATCAACGACATCCATCGAAACAAAGATGAAAATCTCTCTTATAAAAGAGACAAGATTGAGGCAAGATAACATTCAATTTCCTATCTTTGTTTGTAACTTCTTTGCATTTGTGATGCTAATTAGATGGAGAGCCAACAACCAGCGGATTCAACTCAAGAACCTTCGTTTGCTGACGTGCTAGACGAGACATTACGATTGTCACAACCTTCAAGACGATGCAATCGAAATGAAGATCTTCAAGAACGACATGTTCTTCCTCGAATAGATGGTGAGATACAACGCGTTTGGTATCACGATTTGGGAAGGGACTCCCGATGTTTGGTGATTTTGCTAGAGGTAGGAACAACTCCTGATGGTGTTCCAAATATTCTATTCGAAGGAAGTTACGAAGGCCTCAACAATGATCAAATAACTGGGTGGTCTTCCCGCCCTGGTATGGGACACTATCGATGGTTGAGAGGCCCTATCAATCATCTTCGAAGAGAACAGAGATCAGAGTATGTGGCGAATACAATTCGTCGCATCATAGATTTCCTCAACATATGATGACTGCTCCTCGTGGAACTCGTCTCTAGAAGGGGGGGTAATGTCACGGCCATAATCATGTAAGCTAATAATTACATATAGAAATAGGTAGAAGTAAGTAAAAGTAGATAAAAATAAGTTAATTCTATAATATTTAATATAGAAGCTTCCTAGAAACTTCTTAGACGCTGCTTTGACTTCATAGGTGTCTTTAATTGACTTTTTGGATTAGAAACGTGGTCAACAAGTTGGCCATGTGCCACACATGTTGTTAGCTTGAAGATCAAGCTAACTATGTGGCCCACATGTAGAAAAACTTGCCTTGTAAGTCAAGGCATGTGTCCTACAAAGTCAACACATATTGGAGGTCCTATAGAACGTCGCCACGTAGCCCCTAGTTAGATAGTATATATAGAGACAAGAGTGAAGGCTTCTTCACTCTTGTCAACTCCTTTCTTGCTTCTAGTCCAGGTTCAAGAGTCTTTAATTTCTTGTCTTGTGGCAATAGCCATTCCAGTTTCCTTTTAATATACCTACTTGTTTAAATTTGACTTATTATATCGAGATAGCCTTTTTGTGTATATTTTCCCTCATCGAGTCTTTGTCCTTGATACCAAACTTACCTTAAGATTATAATGAATTATCTAACCTCATTGAAGAGTGTTGAAGCTTCAATCCTTTGCAATGCCCAAAGTTGGCAAACATTTGCAAAAGATTGATTATATTAAAGAGTAAGTTAATGGTTGGAGCAATTCAAGCAAAGACACTATATTTTAATGCATCGAAATACAAAAGATATCAAAATATAAAACTACAACAATGACATTCAAGATTACAACTAAAAAACCTTATATCAAAAAACTTTGTAAATACATATTGAATTGATTTAATTTCTTTCTTTATTCAGCATATACTTATATATTATGGTTAGATACTTAAATATAAGCATAAATTTATAAAAATAGATAAAAAATAATATATATATATATATATTATTAATAAATAATTTAATTTATAAATTTAGATTGATATATTTGAAGAACAAGTGTTTGGAAGAAAAAAATGCTTATTGCAAATGCTACAACTATGTAGAAATAAAGTGTAGGCATTGTGTCTTGTTAGAATGGATGGGATAGACAAGACTACAGTTACAAAGGCTACATTAAATTGTGTGAGACACAAGTATGATTTCTTTTGCTTTATTTAATGTATTGAAAGTTATGGTGATTATTTTTGAATATCTTGCAACATTTCAAAATAATTTAAAATTAAAACGAAACCAACAGATTTGGATGATGCTCAAGAAACTTTCTACATCTATACAATTTAAGAATATACATTGATTATTTTTAAAATGTTTATTTATTTCATATTAATATTTTTAATTTTATGTTATAAAAAAGATAAAAGCTTCTAATTTAATTATTGCCTCATGCTGATTTTAATATTGATAAAACTATAACATTACAATCATTAAGATGAAATTTTTTTAAAAAAAGTTTAATCGTATTTAATCTACATATTTTCATTTCATTATATATATATATATATATATATATATATATAGGATTAAAATTTATATATTTTTAATAAAACATATAATTAAAATTTTAATATTTTAAAAATATATAAAAATATATACATTCTAAGTACCTTGATACATTTAAATTTTAGAAGATAAAATTTTGAAATTATTCAATATTAATATGAAAGAAATAAATAAGTATAAAATATACCATACCAATCTTATATGATGTGAAATTTAAGTAAAAAAGTTTTAAAAAGTTATTGTTAGAATATTAAATGATCTTAACTTTTCTAAGAAAATTTTATTGAAGAATCTAAATTTTTTATTTTCTATTTTTTAAAGATATTTTTTTTATCAATATAAAATTATCCAAATTCATAGTTTATAGTACCTTTGCTGAATATTTCTTCCAACACTAGAAATTTGATACCATCGTGAAAATATGCTTAAAATTAAGTATTTTAATATGTATTTCAAACTCAATTTAACCAAGTATAGTGATCTTGATTGCATTTAATTTTGTGAATACTATTCGATTTAATTTAGTTTTATTACTACTAATATTATGAACTATTATTTTGAAAATATATTTTTTATATATTTATTTATTTGAAACTTCAATCTTAAGTTCATGAAATATAATATATATTTAAAATAAATAAATAATTAATTAATTATAGATAAGTTAACAATATTCTTAAATTTTAGCTTTATTTACATTCTTAATTTCAATCTCTATGTAAATAAAAGATATGTCATAAAAATTAATTACTTTAATATTTTTTATAAATATTTTCTTTTTTGTAAAGTTCTTATGTAGACACGTATGTGTGTGTATATATATATATATATATAGATGTAAATTTGCTTGAAAGAACAAAATTCTTATTAGTGCTCAAATCAACTGCTTATTCACTTGCATCATTTTTTGCCACTTCTCTTTTGGTAACTAAAGGACAATTAATCCCTTCGTAATGATTTTTAAAAAAATAACATTTATGATTATAATTTTTTTTCATAGAAAGTAATTTTGACTGCCACAAACTCATAATAATAAATCTCATCAAGTAAAAGTACAGACTAAAAGAATCCTCCTACCTTCTACAATTTGTATATCTTCAGTTTTACAAAATTCTTTGAGCATATGAATTGATTTATTGAAAACTTTATCTTGAATATCCTTTTGGAATTGTTTTATACAAGGCATAATGTAGTCAAATTATGCATCTGCAAAATTAGGGCTACTGATAAAAAAAATATAACACAATGTACCATTGTTTTTATAAGCTCTTAATTTGAAACTTGAATTACTGGAGAGAACCTTACCTTTTTCTTTTCTTCTTCTTGTTTTGTTTTGTTTTGTTTTTTTCGAACTTTCCAAAGTTCCATTTCTGCCAACATCATCGTTCTTTTGAACTTCAAAGGTAAAAATTATAAACTTTCACCCTCACGTGTACTTAAAGCCATTTTATACCAGTCAATGATTGACTTCCATTCACTAAATAAAATAAAGTAAAATAAAATAAAAGAAACAAAAATACCATTCCACGATTTTGAAACAAAATTAGTTCACTAAAGTCAACTTTCAACTTCTGTAAAAATATCTCTTCTAAAATATCATTTTGAAGGAAAAAGCCTTATTCAAAGATTCAGCATCGCTTCAGAAACAGCACTTTTTAGATTGAAAAGAGGCTATACATAGTTGCAAAGGATCTCAAATGCTTTCCACATGTCAAACAGCATTGGACCGATGATGGGTTTGAACCCTGGATTAAATTGAAGTAGTTCTTGCTCATTTGGTGCTTTTGCACATGAGTCAAATTCCAACATTGACTCCTCAATGCTGGTTTTTATGGTTGTTCGCTATTTGTGTACAAGTTGCGGCAGCTGTGGAACCATTTGCAAGCTGCTGCAAAAGCTGATGAGGATTTGCCTCAGTGATTTTCGATTGCAGTGTTGAAGGATGCTGATTGTTATGATAATTCATCACGTAACCATTGGTTTGTGGAAGCTCTACTGTGTACAATGTGTTGCTTGAATGTCACGGTGCACAGTCGTCATGAACCATTGGAAAACAATACACACCTTGGGAGACTGCCGATTGTTCTGAACAGGCAGATATCAAAAGTTTAGGTGCATGCGACATCGTCATTGGGTTGGTAATCTGTGCACTGTGCACACCACAATGTATACAGAAAAGAATAGTAAAGAGAAGAAAACATGTTCAGATCAACAAGAGTTGAGTCAATACCAAAATATATTGATTATCATACTTCCATGTGGTTCGATTCACATGTTTAGAGGTTCCGTATCTCGCAGCAGAGAAATTCGCCACAGCAATCGCTGAATGGGTCGCTAGATGCTACGCTTTGTATACGTCGCTAACTAATCCCGCGTGTTGGGCATGAGGTAATACTACTCTACTCGGGGAAAGGCGAGCTGTCTATCCCCTTGTCCATGTAATTTCGACTGATTGATTGCACAAAGCAAATAAGCATGTTTTGAGTAAAACAAGAAAAACAGAAGGGTTGGAGCACGGGAGGTTGATGTGCGTGCCCACAATTGTGGTCTCCATAAATAAAGAAATATTCAGGCATTATCCTCACTATGATCATAAAAGTTTCACTCTAACTGATGAGGAGAGGTCATTGAGAATCTTGCAGCATAGATCCGAGTGTTGCCACGCTCACTGCAGCTGCGAGATGCCAAGCAGCGTGAACATAAGGAGTGTTCGCGAAAAAATGGTTACCGGCGAACAGCGCACCTCCCAATAGGGACGACATGGTGTGCATGTTGTGTGCTTTTCGAAGCTTGGGATCATTCCGCGTCTTCACAGCAAAATGAGCCTCCATCAAGCCAGTATGCACAGCGGTCACAAGCATTGGCTGAAAGGGGATCATTAAAGCTGATGCCATCACTAAGCCCTTGGGGTTATCCTTCTCTGACCGTAGAGCCGACGACAAGCACTGCATTTTCAAGCGCATGAAACAATGGTAAGCTTAATGCAAGCAGCTGCAAATTTTGTTTTACCTCAAGACTCGTGAAGTACACTGAGATGCACAGTATAAAAAAGCAACCTTAGAGATTAAATTTGGTATTCTATAAACGATGCGCTTACTTACCTTCAAAATTCATGAATGGATTTAACGAAAAACATGAGATAGTGTGTACCAGAGTTGAGGTAGCAATCATAGCATAGTCGCAGAACCGAAGAATCTTTCGTGCATCTCCACGAGATGAATGGTATAAGCTTGATGCAATGCCGACTCCAATGATTGAATTCCCAAACATTCGATTGGCAAACTTTTGCCTGCAACAGAGAGTAATGAGAGCCACATTACACATTCAGTAGTCTATGTTTACAGCTTTGATTGGTAAACTTTGATTGAGAGACCAACTCCCGACGAAAGAATCAGAATAACGCCCAGGGATTGCTTACCTCGGAGTCTGAAGTCCAACAAGAATGAATGGCATGGATGTTGCGACATTGACAACGGTTTCCATTACAGTCCGATCACCCTTGGGCACGCACATGTGCTTCGACCATCGTAAATCTGGTAACACCCCAATGACACATGGAGACACAATCGTCCATTAAAATGAGTATTTTCATGCACCGGGCATGGAGAGTTACTAACACGAATTAAGGTTCAAACTGCTGTAATAATGGGAGTTAAATCTGGTTTCAGCACAGGTTCGTAACCACAAGCACATACCGTCGACAGCAGCAATTGCTGCACTAAGCCAACCGATCCTTTCATCCAATGATGCTGCTCTCCAGAATCTCAGCTGTTTACGTTCACTGTTTTGTTCCGTCTGGTGTACATCATTCCTGCAAGCCACAAAAGCATCTTGAGCACAAAAATACAGTTGCCCAATTTCTACAAAGCCTTACACCCCCGTACACTTGTGACATAATTTGCAACTCAGAAATCAGAAAAATGAGTTGCTCCAACGTACACCAATTCGTAATGGGGGCTAAATTCTTGAGAAGCCTGTAAACTCAAGTGGTCATCATGCTGACAACGCCTCAGACGCACACCGCGCAACTGCTGCAAGGTCATCTTCTTCTCCGCACCAAAGAGTCCTAGTCTTTGCTCGAAAAATCCTAATCGCAGTTACTTCCAGTGAGCTTAAACTAGGTCTGAACTCAGCTCATTGAAAGGCTGAGGCTTACAGTTTCACTCGTACGACGTTCACATGCATCAGATCCACCTGCATACACACACGGGTCAGCTGAATTAAGGGTATCTACCTCGTTGGCGTTTCCAACATTTCGAAAGACACTAATCGAGAGTACTAGTATTTTGTCAAGGTACTACGCATTCCCGAAGCTACTGCAATCGTCCAGTTTCAGGCATAAGAAATAATTATTGCCGCCAGCAACCCAGACACACTGTGTCCATACTGAATTGAGGCTCCTCCGCCGACCAAGCACAAAGCGATGGCGCAAACCTTCTTTTGAATCGACTGCTCCACGAAACCCAACTGTTAGTTCCTCTTTTCAAAGGTCGACGAGGATGTCGTTGTTCACCGCCAGCCTTGCAACCAACCTCGAATGCACAAACTTCAAAATCGAAAATCCTGCGTTTCTGCAACAACACACAGAATTGATTCTTCTAGCAATCAGCCTCTCCAGGTACACGCATAGCATTAAGCCACAGAACCTCGAAGAGTAGCGTCAACCGATCATCATCCTAGATCTCCCAACTGAAAGAAAACATCTCAAATCAATCAGTGCAGTCACTTGCACCCGCAAAATGCCTCTCAACAAAACCATATGATTCATATCCCCGAGCTTCCGCTTCAAGCATGCGTATCTCCGCGACACCCCTCAACAAAGCCCAACCTCTCACAGCCGCTCAAACTATTTTGTCCTCTAGGCGGAGCTATTGATTCTCTCCAGCTGGCTACCATGGCGCAGTGAGGTCGCATTCAATACCTCGTATTCTCAGCTCCGAAGCTCCCACCGCGACGCTCACCTTCACAACTTCGGATTCTACGCTGCGCAGCACGCGAGGTCTGTCGACAGGGATCACGCAGCCCCAGCAGCGACGCGAGCGGGCGAGCGGAAGCAAACCATCACGAGAAACTGAGGGCGAGGGGCGGGGAGCTTTTATTCGGCGGCGCTGGGCTAAAAAGCGTGGCCTCGACGCAGCTCCGAGGATTCCACGAGCATCTTCCCTCTCCCTCCCTTCCTTCCTCCTCCTCCTCACGCTGCGTGCTGCGTGCATATTCGCAGCATCTCGCTTGTGACGGCACTTGCTCATCGTGCCGCGGCGCGATCACGGCGAGGTCGGTGACGCGAGCCCCTCCGTCGCCCCGAGACCGCCACTGCTCCGGTGAAGCATGACCGCTCTTTTTCATGTTCCTTTTCATGGATGCTTTTTGTGAGTGTTGGACGAGTAAAATGTGATCACCCACACCTCCTCGGTGTCTTATATTGGATATTGAAAATTGGTTTGGTTTTACATTAGAAATTGGTACTGTGATTGTTTCTGAAATTAAGACAAAGTTTCGTGTGTATCCAGTAACATTCTTCCACAAATTATGTCCTAACTACTGGTTTTCTCCTAGCAAGTTGAGTTTGGTACGATATGAGCACTCCATCTTTGATCTCTTCATTCTCTACTAAAAGTTCACCAAAAGACTCTCCTTATTTAGAAGCCCTGCAATTGATAACTAAGATTAGCTCTTGTACTACTCCTCATTACCCATTCTTTAAAAAATAGGTAATATTTTTACGGGACTTATTTCCATGGCCTAAGTTAAACAAGTTGGGAGAGATACCAAGGAAGATGCTACGGAATGACTGGGGATTCTGTTGGCATATTCTTACATCCATCTAAGCCCTGCAGAGCAGGCTCAAATGATTGAAGGTTCGTCATGTACAGCAACCGTTCATCTGTTTACCCCATCGGGTTCAACATGTGCGCTTTTTCTCGGCTGAAAAGCCACGACAAATATGAGATCTGGTGTTAGAGTCTGACCGTCCACAATGAAAACCTTTCCAATCGCCGAACAAGTAAATATTCAGTTGAATACGGAAGTTATGGACCACAGCTTTGGGGGAGAAGGTGATACCATGGCGATGAAATACGGTGTTGAAGGATTACCGGACACTACATACCAGAAACTACAGAAATGGCACACATTACCGTCAGATACTTCCAAGCAATGTCGGAACAATGCTAGTCGTATGCTCTAAAATTTGGGTTGTGGAGTAGGATAACTGTGCTGTTTTGTTTCAACTCAATTTTCTTCTTGGTGTCTTCAATGCTTGAGAGTTTTGAAGATGTTCGAATCTGAGGTGCTTGCTTACTCTGTTGTCATTAGTGGGTCAAATTTCTAAAGTTGGGTTAACACAGATGGATTTGTAGTGGCTATTGATCCATCTTACGGTATTGAATGGTTAACTAGTAAGCTGCTAAGAGAACATCAAAGATTCTGAGAGTTGTTCCAGCCTTGAGGGAGCTTCCATTCGTCTGCCCAGCGTATAGACACTCTTTGCAACTGCGGGAAGTGAATATCCGTCGACACACCTTGATAAAGAGGCCCGTTCATTGTCAATGGCAGCCAAACATATCGAGAATCCCTCAAATCAGAGGGCAACCATCTGCAGACAGAAACTAGTCAGTTGTCAGATTACGCTTTTACACGTAGACTCGTTACATTGGATTAGATGTGAAGCTCAACAAAGGGAAGGTTCTCTGGCAAAAAAACATATGTTCTATTAATAGGATTTAATGTTGGGGGTTTGTTTGAATGTAGAATAACCACAATATGCGTTCAACATGGAACGGATTGGTAGTACCAATCAAAGGATTAATAACCGCACCGATGACCTAAAAGTTCCATCGTCATAACAAACTCTTGACAACAAATCTGGGAAATTAATTTTCAATGCATGTTGCGGTAGTTTTGTTTTAGCATTGTGTTTTGCATATTAAATTCATATAAACTATGATATTCATTAATCGTGGCTTTTATTTCAACCAGCCTCGTGGTTTTCAAACAACAGAGGAGACATGAATCTCAAGTGAATTTATAATAACATACCTGTCTCCCATAAATATGAAGGTATCTTGTAATCCAGGTAAAGGCAACACAAATGAACCTTGTGAAAAGAAAGTCAATGTTCTTAACTCCTCGTCTCCTCCTACACACGGATCACCAATTGTCACCCAAGGCCCCAGCATTGAAGTTGACGCGTGTATCAAAGCGCCATTGGGGTTCCAACTAGTACAACCAGACGTCAGCATGTAGTATATACTTTTGTGCTTGAAAACGGCTGGGGCCTCTCTGCGTTGCTTTATAAATATTTTCTCCATCCCTCTCTCCATTACATCCAGGTAGTCTTCTGTTAGTTTCCCTGGATTCATAAAATTCACAGGTGTTACTATCCAAAATCTAAAATTTTCAAGTTATTGCGAATTAATAAAATCCTGACCTATCAATTGCCAGAGTTACGCACCTTGAGTCCCTGTACCTCTTTATTACGATTCATTTGCTCATCAGCTATGCTCACTAAAACCTTCCATGAATGCAATGCGAGGCACTTATTTGAGTCCAACATCTCGCACATATTGCTTACCTACATGCAACTCATTGTTGATTTGTGAGGAATAGACGATGTAGGCGTCCCCATTATCGTCTTTAAACACCGTCATGTCACGACTGTCACAACCATGGGGTCTCTTGCTTCCGAGGTACTCAAAGGGACCTACAGGATGTGTGCTCACAGCCACACCAATTGCAGCCTTGGAGTAAGTTCCATTATCTATGTGCATCCACATCACATACAGCTTGCTACGGTCATTGTAGATGACCTTGGGCCGCTCAACCACATTCTTTACGTACAAATCACTTTTTTTATTTCTGTACTCGCCCTTAAGTGCTCGACCTTCAAACTTCCAGGACCATAGATCCTTAGATGAGTAGCAGTTTACACCTAAAACATCAACCTGCACACATCGAAATCAACAACGAGATGTACTCAAGCAAAGTGCGCTGTTTGGAAATAGTCGAAGCCAACACACACCATCTTAACATAGGATCAACCTGGTCAAGTTTCTTAAGAGTATCTCTTGAATCCTAGACAAATCAAGGAAACGAAGTGCAAGAAAGAACTTACTCGAGCTGTTCCGCGCTTGCTTAAGTGGTATGTCCGTCCCCCTTTATTTTCCCCATACCAAAAAAATGTTTCACTTTTTGGTACGTAAATTATACCTCCACCATGTGCTTGGATAGGATGACCAGCAATATCTCGCCATTCCCTGCCTGGATAGTAGATCCCAACTTCACTATGATTTGCCTTCGATGCATCCATTGACAGTGCTTTACTTGGAAATAATAATCCCGCTAATTTTTTCAAGCGCAGCAATTTAGCTTCTTCCACAGCACGGTTTCTTGTATTATTCTTGAGTGAGGAATTTTCTCTAATTTGAACACTAGAAGATTCTTTCATCAGTGGTTCTCCTCTGATACTGACATGTTTTAATGCAGATTGGAAGGCGCTGATATCAGGAGAGACGTTCACCGAATCCATTAGCTGTGACTTTCGTAGCTCTGGGATCTCTGACTTAGAAGGAAAGAGCACATGGTAAACCTGGAAAATGACAATCCAAGTTGCGAAGGACCAAATCAACGTTAATAAGCAGCATTTAGTCCCCACATGACAGGTCTTGAACAATCTATGCATCATATTTGAGGATATGTCATTCACAGTGGGCTCTCCTTGATCCAAAAACTTTCTCACTCGAAAAGTTGCACTGTAAGTTTTCCACAAGGGCTTCAGTATCAAAAGTCAAGTATAGCATTGCTTCCACATCGTCAAGATTGGTGATTTAGTCTGCGGACCACAAAATACACCATTAACCACTAAACATGATAAAAACGAGGGTTCCCTCAAATAACTTTGAAATCGCCTTCAAAATACATTGATGAAAGCATGCAAGACTACGAGACACCATATGAACACACAGCGCATTTGTTTGTTCTTTACAGTGTTGCTAACACAACACGCAAGGGCGAATCTTACATGCAAACATGAAAGATCAATTTTCTATCTAGAAGGCTTCACTAGGAACAATACAGATGTTGTAAACAAAGTGGATAAAAACTAATATCGTATGTATCTCCCGTTACAGAATCATTCCTGCGCGCCGTTGTTTCTCAGCAGAGAAAACGTTAGCAGAATTTCAATTATTTGATGATTCATGTCGAAGATGTTATCACACAATTTCTACTATCAACCAATCAGGGGTTTGAAGGAATTTTCAAGGGTAATTCATGATTATAAGCACCTTCACACGATGGTGCTAAGTGGAGAAGATTCATTGAAGTCATAAACTCATTCGTAAATCTCTCTATGAAAAGGGATAGATATCACTTCAGCAGCACATATTCTGTGACCGCAGCATTTCTATAAAAAATCTTAATATGCAGATGAATCACTCCGTACAGGAGCTAGACACACAGATTTCCTCCTAAAAATCTCTGCCTCTCCAATCAATAGTACTAGCTTCCACTACAATTTCTAAAACCTAGCTGCTCCAATTGTTTCTTAATAAAGACAGTAAGTGCTGGCTTCTTCGGCAGTTCCAAATTACCAGGGTACCTCAAGGTCCAAGAATTTCCGTAGACTATTTCAGGTTCAAGTCCACTATCTTTACAGTATAAGAAAGTAGAAAAGAGATATGGAATGGCGTAACTACCTGCAGACAAAGAATCACAAGAAATCACCATGAATCATCTGAAAATCTACCATGACCACAAGTACCAAGACGTATTCATCAACTTTTGCTCATTGACATGCAGAAAAACGAAAAGGAGATGATATTTTGCATAATATCTTACCAGCCACAACTACACTCAATACCTTTCATGGATTCCGCAATAAAAGAAAGGGCAAATATCTCGAGAGTTTTTAATAAAATTTCTATAGCATCATACGAAATTTCACTCAAGCGTATTGAAAGTTAATTCAGTCTCGGCCAACTCTTCCCGAGCACCGCAACAGAAGAAACAATCCAGGACCGCGACACAAAACACGACGCATCGCCAAGGCAGCTGAATCCGTCATCACACACGCAGTCACCAAAGGAAAAAAGACAAAAAGACAACCTTGTGCATGTTAAATGGATACAAGATTCTCTATATCCCAATCAAAAGCACTGTAACTCACAGCATAGTTGCGGACGCAACGAGTCGTGTCGGTAGACCCCGCACCACGAAGACTCAAACTTCAACACAGCGGCTATGGCGGAAAACCTTGAGATCAGCGACAATGGAGCTGCATAATAGGGCGTTGAAGTTGCTTTTTTCGAATGGAGGAATGGAGAGTGCTGGAGAGTCAGTGTCAGGCCCGGGTGATCGCGACCCGCCACCCGCAATTCCCCGTTCGACGAGGTGGGCCCTTCCTTGGCTACCACGGAAAGGCGCAAGGCTCGGAATGTCAAGAAGCCTTTCGTCCACGGAAGATTTGAGCCTCTGTTGTCACTGTGCCGGAGTCGGTACATGACGCATAGTTGTTGTTGCCGTGCTTGATAGGACCATTTCACCTGTTGTAGCATTTAGTGGCCGGCTGTTGAGGTTAATTTGAGGTGTACCGTTAACCAATATCACCAGGCTGGCACATTCAGATATGAGCTCCGTTTCCTTCCCTGGCAAACTTCGACGGTTTGGCTTCTAATGCATAATTTGAACCTGATAAGCATTGATGAGTTCCATAGATTATGCGATCAACTGGCTTCGCCATGCTTGAACATTTTCCGCTCTGGAAGTATGTGCAAGTTCGGTCCCAAGGTGCGTTCTCCCAAGGAATGGAAGATATTGAATAGATAGACGAGAGCCTCGACTCTTGAATCTCGATGAGTTTTGATTGGTTAAATAAGGTAGCGTTCCCATGATTCTTTTCAGATATTTGCTCTGAACTGGAAATGAGGCTGGAGGAATGGGATGCCTACCTTGATAAATACCACGTAATACTATTGCCGATCGGGGATTCTCGCACTTGCCCTGGAGTGCCGCATTAATTATCTCCAACGCAATCCATGAGCTGAAGATACGAAAGAGTCAAGCTCGAAGTAGCCTGCTCATCGATTACTTTGGTCAAGTTTGTAAAATTTTGGAACACAGTGGTGTAAGATAGAGGCTGAATGACTCCGAATGACAAAAGGGCTTGTAATACAGTCTCCAACAGATGTTTCTTACAACAATAAATGTGATTAACTTCTGTTTGCAGGAGCATATCCAACAACGTGGCCTCTGTCAGTGTAAACTGACAATCACATGGAGGTTTCCGCTACTACCTCACTATCATTAACGATTGCTGCTGGGGTTGGCTTGCCATTCAAGTAATATTACTAAAGCACTGATTCCACCATTATTCCGATGTATCAAATCAAGTGCTATCAATTCTGCAGTATTTTGCTGTAATTCACCTTCGCATCACCAGAAATATCATCATATTTGTTACAGTCTGATTCTAAAGAAATGTATCAACCACATCACAGTCCCATTTCTGTAATCATGCTCTACAGCCTGGAAAGGAGTTAATTTCAACAGTTAAATTGAATTAAATCAACAAAGTATTGTTGGATTTTGGGAAGACATGATAGAGGGAGTCAAAGGAGGAGTGAAAATTCAATTGAGAAGCATATTTTTAAAAACAATTATTAAGGGTGAATATTCTAATAGGCACAATTTTTTTCTTTAAAATTTATTATTTTATTACTTTTTGAAATGTAAAAGAATCAAATTCAAAAAATATTTATAATATATATACATATATAAATATAATCTTTATAAAATAATATTAAGAAATTTAAATGTTCATATTCATAATGTTTCACTAAAATCTACTATAGAAACATATAGATAAATTTAGAAGAGATGTTTTTTTCTTTTGTGATAATTTTAAAACAAATTTTAAAATATAACCAAAATAAAAAAATCTAAAATATAGCAAAAATTAAAAGAGAACCAAATAACTAGTATCCATTCTCATGGACACACATTTTTACTCTAAAAATTACCTAAGTAATACGAATAGTTAGAAGTAGATTAATTTTATAATATCTTTAAGAGAAGTTTCCTAGAAGCTTCATAGATGCAATTTCACCTTTATACATGTCTATAGGTGATTGATAGATTAGAAACTTGGCAAATAAGTTAGCTACATTGTTGTGTTGTGGTTCGACTACCATATGAAAATAATGTGTTTATATATTTAATACAAAATATATTAGACAATATGGTGAAAGCCATGTTGGTGGATTTTTGTTGGTTATAGGATGTAGATAGATTACTACTCCAAAGAGAGGTTGTTTAAAAAGGCTTCTATTAGAATTTATATAACTTTATTTTCTTTTGATAGTAACTTTTGAAGTTGATCTTATTAGTAGTAACTTTTAAACATTTAGAGTCGCCCTTGTTAGACATTGGTGACACTAAGAGTTTTATTTTGGTTCTTTTATTTGGTGTTTAGGGCAAATATTATGTAAATCTTATTAAAAAAAATGGTTTGGAGAAGGATTTTGGTAGCAAAAAAGAGAAGTTAGGGCATCCATTTGGATGAATGGAGATGGATGATGAAAATCTTCATTCCTATTAACCAAAAATCATACCCAATGGACTTCAAGGAGGCTGCTTGAGGCCTTATTAGGGATTAGGGTTATTCTTTCGGAACTATTTGAGCTTTGGAGGCTAGGTTCAGCAAGTTTATGTTTTTGGCTATGATTTTGGTACAAATTTTGTATGATTTGGAGTTTATATGAAAGAGATATAGGTGCTCAAAGTAAAGGTATTGATTTTGTATCTATTGTCACTCTTTTGGACATAACGTGTGCATACAAAAAGAAATAAAGAATCAAAAACTAGGATTGAAGAGAGTACTTTTTTGACTATACTTTTGATATATTTTTTGATGGATTGTAAGTTAGAATAATGGAGATATTGGAAGTTGAAGTCAACACTTCAAATCTAAGGATAATAAGTAACCCAATTTACTAGTGGTTGTATTTTGAGCTTTATCTTGAGCAATTCAAGAAGATTTTGGCTCAAATTTTTTTAGATTGTGTGTAATCATGTTAATAAATTTTATGCACAAATTTTGTGGTATTTGGATTTTGGATTTTTGAGATATGTGGAAAATAGTTTTTAGATGCTTGTAGATTAGGGTTTAGAGCACTTGTTAGGATTTCTAAGATGCCAAAAGATTGGTAATAGATTTACGGTTCATTTTTTTTGTGATAAAATTAAGGATAGAATCTATGTTATATAAAAATTTGAAAAAAGCTGAACAGTTGGATCAAGAGATATGAATTTTTAAAATTTAAGGTAAAAATATCTTTTACAGGAAGAAAATGTTTTGAAGGGTTTTGTTATAATTTGAGCTTTTGTACAAAATAAAGGGATTTTAGGAGCTAAAACATCATATATAAGCCAAAGCTAAACTTTTTACAAATAAGTACCCAGTGTATTCTCAGTTTGTAAATCACACCATGTGACAACATGTTGTATGTATTGCTAGCTTGTTGTACAAGCTAACAATGTGGTGTACATGTAAGAAAGTTGTTTTGTAAGTCAAGACATGTGTCATCTCTCTTTATAAAAAGTCTCACTTGTTTATTAGCCTTCATTGAGTTCTTCTTCTTGATAAATTGATAAGAATACACTTACAATATTAGAGCCTTGTTTCTTTTTGATTAAGAATGGATTACCTTTTTTTTTGATAAAATATAAGCAAAATAGAAGTTATGGATTACTCACTTTTAAATTGATATTTTTTTTAGAATTTATTTTTTTCTTGAGCCCTTTCTTTTATTTATCTTAAGAGATATTAGACATCTTCTTTTCAATTGTATAACCATGGCAGAGCTTGCTGAAATAAAGAGTGTAATAGCACAAATGCAAGAGCAATTGAAGGAATTAATGCTTGCTATGCCTCAACTTAATTTATGACCACAAAATGCAACAAGATTAGTAGGTAGAGAAGATATATAGATGATTTGAGCTACTATAATATCTATACCAAATCATGCTACTTCTTCTATGATAGAACACCATTCAAGCATTAAAAAATCAAAGATTGTCTTACATAAGAAGTTTGATGGCACAAAAATAAAATTTTAAAAATTCATTAATTAAATACAAGTGACAATTGAACTCCAATCCCTAAGTTATTCAATTCCAAGATCACAAGTCAAGTTTATTAGTATACTTTATTTATATTTTGTATTATTACAATTTTCATCTTTTTTTGAATGATGTGATCAAATATTAGATAATTTAGAGGTTTTTTTGGCAAAGTTTTGAACCATGTATATAGAACATGATGCAATTTATGTTACAACAAATAAAATCCATATTTTATAATAAAACAATCAATCTATAACATTGCATATTTTACAATTTTGATAACTTACAATTAATATTAAATAAAATAAAGTTGCATTCATTAGCTAATTTCTTTATGGATTAGAATATGAGATAAAGAATTGAGACTCAATTTATTTGATCTTCAAATATTAGGTCATGTTTTTGACTTTGCTATGAAGTATAACAACCAACTTTTTGAATTTCAATCTAAGAGTTGTACAAGTAGACCTCATGATTATTATAATTCAATGGCAATATCAACATCTTCTCAATTCATACATTCAAAAGTAGGAGATATGCATATTGATGCAATACGTTTTAAACTTCTCATTGAGCAAAAAAAGACTAGTCATTGTCAAAAAAAATTATACTTATATTATGAAGAACCTAAGCATAGTACTCAATATTTTTCAAAAAAATAACGCAACTACAAAATAAAAAAAATGGCTATCAAAGAAGGCAGCATGTTGGAAAAAAAGTTTGTTTAATTGCAATAGAAATTGTGTGGTTGAGACCTTCTACAACATCTAATAAATTTCATATTTTTTTCTCAAAGTCCTCTTTTTGTATTATAATAGATGTTAATTTAGAACCTAAATATCACAAAACCTCTACCTTATTGGATTTAAGATCCTCACTTTATTTCTTAGATGAAGAATTTATTAAAATACACAATATACCTTTTGTGAAGAAAATTAAATTTATTCATATAGAAGTCATAGATAGTCTTCTATTATCTTTTGGAAATGTTACTCATAAAATTCTTCTTATAGAGGTAACAATTCATAGTCATAGTAACTTTATAATATTAAAAATCATTAGATCTCTCTCTAATTGAGTCATTTTGGATTTATTATCGCTAAAAAAGTATAATCCTCAAATAAATTGGATTTCTTGTAGTCTTAACTTTTAAAAAAATATAATTAATAATATTATTAATTAAGTAGAAAGTCATAAGTCTAATGCAAATAAATCTATATTTATAAATGCAAGAGTTTTTTTATATACAATAAAAAAGAAATCACCTTATATTATTTACGCCACATCTATTTCTAATGGTCAAAGACTTCAAATCGCATTCCAAGCCAATATTAAGATTTTAAAGATATTTTTGAAGAAAAAATTACAACAAATCTTATAAAAAAATCATTCTTATGACTACTCAATTGTCCTTAAAGAAGGATCTCAACTTCCATTTGGACCAATCTACAATTTATCATAAAATGAGTTGGCTCAATTTAAAGGAGTATATTGAAGAAAAATTTTATACACTATTTTAAATTATTAATAAAAATTTTAATTTTATTTATAAAAATAATGATGAATCATTACAAATGTGTATCGATTATTAAAGACTCAATAAGATCACCATTAAAAATATATATCCTCTATCCTTGATATCTAGATTTATTGATCAATTGAATTAAGCTAAGATCTATATAAAA